GTCTGGCTGCTTTGCTGCCTGTCTGTCCGGCTGGCTGGAAGCCTGCCCGTCCGTCTGTCCGTCCGTCCACCTATCTGCCCGTCCGTCCGTCTGCTGTCCATCCCTCTGTCCACCCGTCCGTCCATCTGCCCATCCGTCCGTCCGTCCGTCTGTCTGCCAATCCAGTTGGCCAACCGTCCGTCCATCCCTCTGTCCGTCCGTCCGTCTGCCTGCTGATCTGGTTGGCCACCCGTCTGTCCACCCCTCTGTCTGTCTGTCTGTCTGCCCATCCCTCCGTCCGTCTGTCTGCTGATCTGGTTAGCCACCCGTCCGTCCAACCCTCTGTCCGTCCGTCTGCCCGTCCGTCCGTCTGTCTGTCTGCTGATCCGGTTGGCCACCCGTCTGTCCATCCCTCTGTCCGTCTATCTGTCCGTCTGCCTCCCTGTCCGTCCGCCTGCCCGCATCCGGTTGTCCACTCATCTGTCCATCCCTCTGTCCGTCCGTCTGTCTGCCTGCTGCTCTGGTTGGCCACTCATCTGTGTCCACCCCTCTGTCTGTCCGTCTGTCTGCCCATCCCTCCATCCGTCTGTCTGCTGATCCGGTTAGCCACCCGTCCGTCCAACCCTCTGTCCGTCCGTCCATCTGCCTGCCAATCCAGTTGGCCACCTGTCCATCCATCCCTCTGTCCATCCGTCTGCCTGACTGTCCATCTGTCCGTCTGCTGATCCGGTTGGCCACCCGTCCATCCATCCCTCTGTCCATCCCTCTGTCCGTCCATCCGTCCATCTGCCCGCCTGTCTGTCCATCTGCCTGCCAATCTGGTTGGCCACACGTCCGTCCATCCCTCTGTCCGTCCGTCCATCTGCCCATCCGTCTGTCCGTCTGCCTGCCGATCTGGTTGGCCACCCGTCCGTCCATCCCTCTGTCCGTCCGTCCATCCGCCCGCCCATCCGTCCACCTGCCTGCCGATCTGGTTGGCCACCCAGCCGTCCATCCCTCTGTCCGTCTGTCCATCTGCCCATCCATCCATCTGTCTGCCTGCCAATCCGGTTGGCCACCCGTCCGTCCATCCCTCTGTCCATCCGTCTGCCCATCCGTCCATCTGTCTGTCTGCTGATCTGGTTGGCCGCACGTCCGTCCATCCCTCTGTCCATCCATCTGTCTGTCTGCCCATCTGTCCATCCGTCTGCCTGCCAATCTGGTTGGCCACCCATCTGTCCATCCTTCTGTCCGTCTGTCCATCTGCCTGCCAATCCAGTTGGCCACCCGTCCGTCCATCCCTCTGTCCGTCCGTCCATCCATCTGCCCAGCCATCATCTGTCTGTCCAAGCAACTGGAGGTCTGGATACCTGTCTGTGCGTCTGTCTGTCCCCCTGCTCACCTATCTCCCTGGCCACCTGACCGGTAAGTCTGTCCATCCAGCTACCTGGCCGCTTGCCCGCCCGCCCATTGGACTGCATGTCTGTCTGTCCAACACCCTCCCTGTCTGTCCCTCTGTCCCACCTGCCCAGCCGTCCATCTGTCCGGTCATCTTGCCATCCCTTTGTCCGTCTGTCCATCTGCAATCACCCACTCACACCTCTGTCCCTTCCGCCCTGCGTCCATCTGCCCATCTCCGGCCATCTGTCCGTCCATCTGTCCTGCCATCTCTCTGCCTGACTGAGTGGCTCTCTGTCCATCTGTCCTCCTCTTTGGCCGTCCATCCCTCCATCCCTCTATCCATTCCTTCATCCAGCCTTCCATCCCTCCATCCCTCTGTCCATCCCTCTGTCCATCTCTCCATCCCTCTGTCCATTCCTCCATCCCTCTGTCCATCCTTCTGTCCATCCCTCTCTCCACCCGTCTGTCCATCCCTCTCTCCATCTGTCCACCCCTCTGATCCACCTCTCCATCCCTCTCTCCACCCCCCTGTCCATCTGTCCAGCCCTCTGATCCATCTCTCCATCCCTCTCTCCACCCCTCTCTCCATCTGTCCACCCCTCTGATCCATCTCTCCATCCCTCTCTCCACCCCTCTCTCCATCTGTCCATCTGTCCATCCCTCTGTCCATCCCTCCGTCCCTCCACCCTCATGACACCCACAACCTCCCTCAAAGCTGGGTGTCCGACATGGATCTCCCCATCTTTCAGGTCTTTGGAGGCATCTCCCTTGGCTTCAGGTGCCTGCAGAAGCATCTCCCTTTGCTTCGGGTGGCTGCAGCAGATTGGGTGTCCCTTGGAGTTGCCCAACCTTGATGGTCCTTGGAGAGAGGAGGAAGGGACCTTTCTGAGAGGCAACCCCCACCCCATCCAATGAGGCCATCACCATCTTTGAGGCTGTCACCATCTCGAGGCCATGACAATCTCAAGGCTGTCACCATCTTTGAGGCCGTCACCATCTCTGAGGCCGTCACCATTTTGAGTCCATCACC